CAAATGAAAAAATGGCGAAGAGCTTCAGAAGTGCTGTTAAGTTCACGTTCTCGTGTTATAGCGCAATCTCAAGATCAATTGTTTTCACAGTCGTGTTTCATTCTACAATAATTTAAATGCAGTTATTTTTTAACTAGTGGCTTAAGAAGTCCAGTTAGTTAAATATAAACAACAGGCCATTTATTCTATTTCCACTACTGAAATTGCCCATTGAATGCAAACTGTTCTACCCATGCCTGGCAATGCTCATAGTAGCGATCTTAAGTAATTTGAGTATAAGCTAGCCTACGAAGAAATGCCATCCTTGCCATAGACTAACAGATGTATTAAGACTCTCCTGTATGTTTATTTTTGGATTCAATGAAGTTGATAACTAATCGAAGATAGAATACGGGCTGAACGATGTAAGTTAGCAGTGGAGAACACTAGTTACTAGGTGATGTCGCATATTATGGCGCTATAGTGAGCATAAATGGAAGGTATCTGGGACCAAAACTGGTATCAGTGCAAAGGTGCTTTGATCTCGAAATAGCAACACAATGAGATTAATTACACGTTATGTTAACCACATCAACTGCAGTCAACCGTAATCTAACGATATCTCCCAAGCAGTGATAGAACGTAGAAGAGATATATTTTATAAAATTGGCTAGGGGTGTGCGATAGACTTACCTCCACGTGGTGCACCCTGGGCAACGTATACTCATACGGCAAAAAAGTCAATTAACTGGCAGTTGACTTCTCACTTCAAACTACCATCACCTCACTCCATGCCATATTCGACTATTTTCACAGTACTCACCTCACCTTTGTTCTACCTTTGTGTTTGTCTCTTTTACGTCTTTGAAACACTCTTCTGTTCCCCCCCTCTCGACTTTTTTCAATTTAATCTTTCTTCCCCTCTGTGAAGTCTGAAGTCAACTAAAGGGCTAATGATAACCATCAAGACGCCTGCCATTTGATATAAATAAATACTTTAGCGACAAACTAATATTCCAATGACACTGCGTCTTTAACACAATTGTAAATTACTATTATTCATTATTATCATTAATTAACCAATATATACCTTTCAGCCACTTCCAAAGCATTCGAACGCAATTGTATAGAGGTGGTACACATACTCACTTGCATTTTTTAAACATGTAATTAAGGGGTTAAGGCATTGAATCTCTTGAGAATGAGGACGTATGAAATGGAAGTAAAAATAACTTATGTGAACTCATAAAGTGCCCTATATATTAATATTGGCATAAAAGTGGAATTAGACTTAGAAACCAATGGTGCAAAAACTAGGCCGATCTTATGAAAATGTGAATATTCAATTGATTTATTGACGATAATAGGAGAAATGGTGGCACAGGTTGTAATCAGTATCTTTATAAGTACATATTGGAGAATTTCTACTAATCCTTATCGTTATTTTCACTTAAGTCGCACGCCCTTATCGATAAGGATGGATCGTTCAGACGCCGCACTAACCACATTATATAGCAGGAACTTACAATGGATTGTATCTTTAAGCCTAAATCTTATTGCCCACCTGTTTAGGAAATAGCAGCCAGTTGGCACTGAATTTATCTTAATTATTCGAGATCAATTAAATTGTTAAGCCATAATTGAGCAGGTGGTCACCAAAAATGGGAGATATAATTAGCAAAAGCAATGGTACAAATATTTTGCTTTCTATAAAACACCCAACTTTCACAAGCCTGTTTCAATAGGACAATCGATTTCAAGAATAACTCTAAATAATCACTGCTTTTATGAACGTCTTTTATTAAAAAAACTGCCACTGAACAAAGGCGGGTAATTGATTGAAAAGTATGGTTTTAGTGAAACAACTGAGAAGACAATTTGGCATATTCATGTATTAATAATCACTTTAAAAACATGGTGTGAAAACTTAAATGACCAAAAGTGCATTAGTTCATGTACCCTTTAAATCCAATTGAACCACACATTTTATTTTCCAGCCAAATTATATTTTAATTATTTAGTTATTTCAAATGACAGGCGTTTTTGATAGTTATCGTTGGCCCTTTAGCTGATTTCGGGTTTCACAGGGGGAAGGAAAATCAAAGTGAGAAAAATTCAAGAGGGGGAACAGAGAGTGTTTCACAGTTGTAAAAGAGCCAGATAGACACAAAGGCAGAGAAAAAAAAAGAGCCAGATAGACACAAAGGCAGAGAAAAAGTAAGATGAGTACTGTGAAAGTGGTGGAATATGACATACAGTGGGGTCATAGTAGTTTGAATTCAGAAGTCAACTGCCGGCTCAAGGACCAATGGTAATTGAAGTCAGAAGTCAACTGCCGATTAATAGACTTGGGGTCATGATAGTTTGAACTCAGAAGTCAACTGCCAGTTAATAGACTTACTCATGGTAGTTTGAAGTCAACTGCCAGGTAATAGACTTTAGTTTGAAGTGAGAAGTCAACTGCCGATTGATAGACTTTTATTTGAAGTCAGAAGTCAACTGCCAGTTAATAGACCTTTTCAGTCAGAAGTCAACTGCCGGTTTATAGACTTTTTTGCCGTTTGAGTAGTCAGAAGTCAACTGCCGGTTAATAGACTTTTTTGTGAATTCAGAAGTCAACTGCCGGCTCAAGGACTATTTTGCCGTATGAGTATACGTTGCTCAGGGTGCACCACGTGGAGGTAAATCTCTCGCACATCCCTATTCCAATTATAAAACGTTATCTAATAAATATTAAAACAAGTTTAGGGACTTATTTAGGAGATTTCTCTCAGTCTCAGAAGGCGTAACTAACCCGCACTTGTTCACAACACGCTGGCACGAAAATGATGTTACTTTTGGTATTTTTTTCATTTTGTGGAGGAAAAGAAGTCAGATGCGAGGAGACTAATTCGAGTTTTAATCGCACAGCATAACAATAAAAAGGGAGTATTATGAAAAACATGTTCGAGAAGTAAATGAGGTTTTACGTCAAACAACAACTAAGGCACTTGAATTTGGGGTGTGTGCACTAAGGCAACACGATGAGATGAAAAAAAATTCATATGGTACCAAGTGCATTCTGGCATACCCAAAAGTGTATGACTCTGTTTGGGAAAGTTCAACACCAAAACCTTTATTGGAGCATGGTCCATGGTTCAGATTTTAGTGGTAAACATTGAAATGGGTTAAAAGTGAATGGGTTCACTGAATGCCTGGTATTTAGTGACAGTGTATTATTAAATAAATAAAATCACCATTATCATGTGCACTGCCATATATTCAAGATATTAGACTATGTAGATTTGAATTTTATTTGCGAAAGGATTAGTTACTCTGTGGTTAATGCTGAAAAGTCGAATGGTCGAGTGTGTTCAAATCTGTATCTTGCTAGTAATGCCTCACTATTCAGATTGCGATGTATCACATTTCACAACTCTCTCATCCCCCCCCCCCCTCGCAATCGTCGAATGTGGTTCTATAATCCATCTAAGTTCTCTTTGTTTTTATATGTGGGAAAGGTCGCTGTATCCTGTTAGCTTTCAAGGTCATTCATACTTTAAAAGTAGCATTAAAATGGGTTATTGCAAGTTGAGACTTCATTGGGATATTAGCTGCCCAGATGGTAAATGAGAATTAATCAGTAAGGTACTATTCGAATTTTTTTAATCACACAAATCAGAATCACTTCCGAAATTGAATTCCCCAGTCTTGGTGTGTGTATTTACCATCCGCATTGATTTCTCTTTAGCGAAAGAGGTGTTTCGATTGAAAAAATCGCATACGATAAACTACTCCGATTGCGGAGTCATTTAATTATTTATATCAAGTGGCAGGCGTTTTGATGGTTATCATTAGCCCTTTAGTTGACTTCAGGCTTCACAGAGAGGGGAAGGAACATCAAAGTGACAAAAAGTCGAGAGGAGGGGTACTGAAGGGTGTTTCAAAGACGAAGGTTGAAAATTTAGAAAAAAATGTGATGTAGTACTGTGAAAGTGGTCGAATATGCCATACAGTGGGGTGATGGTAGTTTGAAGTCAGAAGTCAACTGCCGGTTTATAGACTTTTTTGCCGTATGAGTATACGTTGCCCAGGGTGCACCACGTGGAGGTAAGTCTATCGCACACCCCATTGCGGAGTCATTATTACTCGCATTTTGTAAAACTTTGGAAATAGAACATCTCCCACTTTTCATTTTCTCTACAAGCGCTATTTCATTTCGAAATAGTTCCATTAAGACCTCTACTTCGAAGGTGTTGGTCGACCGCTCTGCATTTGTAGCCAAAACATTGGTGCAAAGTTCAACATGCAATTCAGTTTAATTGGATGCAACCGGATCGATGCTCATCTTGTCACAACCAATGACAAGGGTGGCACATTCAATTAAACAAGAGGTTGAGGAGGGGGGGGGGGTGTTCGAATTTCCCATAAGCGGCTCATCGATGCCTTTATTAGACTGCTGTAAGCACTTTAAATAATAGGTTTTGGAAGTTCCTTCAATGGAAACGCCTCTGGTACCTTTTAAGATGTCAGGGAGTGTCTTAAATCGGTGCGAAATGGCAACGCATTAGCCATTGATTAACTACCCACCCACCCACCCACTTGTCATTAGGTAATTTATTATCAACATCTTAAAGTCTATTAGATAATTTAACCCCACTTAATGTCAACAGTTCTGCTTGCTAAACAAAAAAAGCGTTTTGCCCAGTTCATCTGACTCCAAGGTAAGACAAAGAAACGATTCAAACTAGCTGAACACCTGTATTGAGCTGCATAGCAAATAGTGACCATATAATGCAAAGGGGGGAAGAGCATGCAGTACTGTCGAAATGCTCGCCGATTAGGTCAGAAGAAGAAACGAGGGAGAGGCAAGGTTTATTGTACATTGATATTTATATTTTTACGCCAGATTAGAAGAGAAAGGGGACAAACTGGCGGTTTCGGACTATAGACGGAGAAGGGGCCGGAGAAGATCGAACTAGGAATGTGGGAAGCTCACAGGAGTGGGGAAGGGGAATCTCTGTGACTACCCGAGTATGAACCTAGACCGCAACTTTGAGCCTCTGATTAGCTGCTTTAACCTCCAGGAGTTCAGCACGCTCACGGATTTCATCAAGAGTGTAATCCACTAGAAGACGTCCGTTTTCGAACACTGTCACAAGAATGTCCTTTTCACTGTCTCCTTGTCCCTCTTCCATGGTGATGTAACCGTTCTCGGAGTTGGAACGTTGAAGGCGTAAACGGCCCTTTTTGGAGTTCTTTTGTGGATCAGTAATAGGGTGCTTGCATACATTCAACTAGACGGTGGGGAAGAGATTGAGGTTAATCGGGGATATTAAGCAAATATCAAAGGTAACAAAAACGCTAAGCAAATGAAAGCGCCCCCCCCCATTGGCGCAGTGGTCAATGAACACGTCTTTTCACTTTCACGAGATCAGTACCCACCGGTGCATATCCAATGGTGTGGGACTAACTCTTCTGACAAATTCTAGTCAACGAAAGAAGCATCAGAAAGTCTTTCGAAATAGGGAGAGTCCAGGATGCCTTTCCTTTACACAAGTCAAGTAGGGAGCAATTCTCCTAATGGGTTTGGAAAGGTTTAAACAAATGCAAAAACTTAACATAAAAAATTGCATTTGAATTGGCAATTAACGAGATTAATACGCATTAAAGACAGGTTTTTCATAGACCACCGGTTTAAAAAATAAGAGTCCTAACAACAATGAATTTGAAACAAGAAAAGCATAAAGAATATCCGAGCTTATGTTCATCTGGCATGTCGAAAATGTTGAATTCATCATAAAAAATATTGAAAGAAAAAGGTTAGAAGAACCGAATAATGGGTTGCTTGCATTTTAGATAGAATATGGGCATTTCAATGGAACATTTTCTTAAAGTGGTATAGAAATAGTGTCATTCAAAACAAGAAGAAATGATTTAGGGGGAAATTAGATGAATCTTTAAAAAGAGACCCCACTGTTTGCCTGATTCCTTTGTTAATGGGGAAAGCGATATCACTTAGGCCATTAGTGATTGCAGAAAAGTTCGACCTTGTTCCCTACCCATATTTACAGGGGTAAATAAAAATGCTGAAACCTAATCAAAGGTATAAGAACACCAAACACTTAGAAGAAAACATTCGAGCAGAAACAAATTACGCTCAGATTCCGCATACCCATCCAAGGAAAATTCAGACCTACGCCTCCAATACCATCTACCTAGTATGAACCAGAAGGCTAGATATTGATAATCTTTATACAACAACAAATGAATAAGAAGTTAAGTGCATTAAGCGAATAAATTGAAAGACTAATATTGATCTGTCGTACACAATATTATTTTCCAATCAGTGCCAAATAAGAAAATACTATTTTGTGGATATAAAAATCTCAAGGGAACAGAGAAGCAAGACTAAGGGTTTTAGCACTTACCTGCTCTTCGTTGATAACGACGTGACTACACTTGAAGGCACATTTCTGTGTGTCCCGATTGAGACGTTGTAACAGGGCGCCACCACTACCAAAAGACACATTCATTGTACTCCAACCCGTTGCCTTTATATTCTCAAGGATATTGGCTAAAGCATAGCAGAAACGCACAAGCTAAAGGCATAACAAATAAGGGCAAATGCAGAAGAAATGAGCCACTAAACTCACCGAGAGACTCCAGATTCACGCCATCGCCCTGGATAAGACGAATGTACGGAGGAAGTACCTTATATCCGCGGCTATTGAGTGTAAAACCAAATTTTGAACCCAAAATATCCAACACTTGGACTACTACCTTCTCAGGATTTCCAGAGTCAGGACGAATAACTAGAGTCCCATCTCGATGGATAACCTAAAATGAGGCGTTACACGAATTCAACCTCATTTTGATCCAGTAAGCGTGCATGAAAAGCGAAGGCCTACCAAGTCCTTAAGAGTTCCTCCCCAGATATTTTCACAGGCGTTCCAGATATTATAGCTATCAGAAACACAAGCAACAGTTCCGGTAGGATACTTCTCCATAAGGTTTTTGTAGGCTTCTGTTTCGCCTGATTCCTGCCATGCTGTTATGGTGCTTCAGAATGATTAGAGAAAAACGGCATTATATATTCACTATATAATGCTTCCAAAATTTTTAATGGGCAAGCCGATGTACCTGTGTTCTGTTGCAGGGATACTGTAACCCGCCATATCGCAATTATAGTAACGTTTAGCAAATAAGAGAGCTGGCAGAGTGTCCGTACCTTGGAAACAAACCAAGTGGGCTGTACCACCAATAGCTGCAGACTGATAGAAATTAAACATAGGAAAATTAACTTATGGCCAATAATGGGGCTGGATAAATATAGAGGAATTTGCTTACCTCAATAGAGGAAACTCCACGGAAACCAAAATCGTGCATCAAGAAAGGAAGGATGGATAGGTCATCAGAAGTTTCTTCGAGATATTTAAAAATAATTTTCTTAAATTCTAAGGAATTTGTCGAAACTGAGAGAGGGTACCACACTTGGACCAGAATAGTCTAGAAAAGGAGGAATTGCTTAAATAAATAAACAAGCTAAACATGCCTCCAGATAGTTGGTTAACCAGTAGCAATTTGGATCAGTATTTTCCACAGTAAACAGAACGTTTCTGACAGGTATCACTGTACCTTCGGGAACAGCCTTTATACGAATAGGAAGATATCCCCCATGCTTCTAATAAAATTAATATGAAAAGGCAAAGCAATACTTTTAGAATATAACGCCAACCGCTCTCATGCATTAAGTCCAGTCCAAAATGCTTTCGAAAAATCTTTTTCGCGGCCTGGATCTTGTTTTCAGTAACGACAGGTCCAACCAAATATTTTTTTAAAATATACTGCAGTCCGAAAAATATAGTCTCAGAGAATTTCCCACCGCGACTTTCAAAGTACGAATAAACCTGTGTCGTACCAGGTGGATATTGGTTATAGTGAGAAACCTCAAACAGTAAATTTCCATCATTCTACCAACCTTGTAGGAATCGGACAGACAGATGATATTGGCGTTATCGGAAAAACCATCATCCGAATCATGCCCTTTATCAAAATGATTTTCCATCACTATACGCTAATATGAATAAACGAAATTCTGCAAAAAATTAAAATTTACAGTGAAAGAAACGCGCTTCAGCACACCAATATAAATGGCGGCAAAAGATAACACTAAATGCAAATTAACCAATTACTTTTATCTGTCCTTGTAATTCGCCAATCACAATCTCATGGATGGAACCAATGACGGTGATCAAGAGACAGCCAATGGCAGGGACGCTAAACTGTAAGTGAATTAGTAGACCTAAACGTTCAACAGGCGAGGGATAGGCCTAAGTGCGTATTCATCTACATGCTCATTTTTTTCCGAATCTCTTCCCTGATTTAAAATACGTGTTCATTTATCCAACCTTTATAACAGCAGTAACCGAAGCGAAAACATATCTGCTTGGCCTCGCTAGTGAAAGTGAAGGAGGGATTATTAAAAGAGTTACAATTAGTCAATAAGAAATAGTTCTATCAATTTCAGATTAGTCTAACAAAAATGGCATTTAATAAAATAATATTACTTAATCAAACGATAGTTATGTAAGCGTATTATGATATTAATAATCACACCAAAATAGAATGAGTAATTTTTAGCCATAATGTAAAGCACGGCACAAATAATAATGGTAAGCTTTTTTAGACTATTTGTGTTTGAGTGAAGTATTAAGTGGAATTTTAATCATGCCACCTTTGTTCACTGAAATACAGTTCCCGTATGGCCCGTGAAAATATTACATGTGTAAGTAGACTGTAAATATCAAAATATTCCTGATGGGCCAAATTAAACTGTTAGACTTGAATAACTGCCACAGTACTGACGGACTGCGGTATTTACTAGAACTTGCCGTGGTGTAAAGGAATAAGAACTATAAACATTTAATGCATTATTAAATAGGAAACAAAAAAAGATATGCGTAAGCAGATATAATCAAGTTAAGTAGAGTGAATTGTTGGAATTGCGCTTTAGAAATTGTAGATATGATAATTGATCAAAATAATAAAAAAATTCTTAAATTAATGAAAATTTGTAAATTTTTATAGATTTCCTAAAGGATTAGAACTAGTAACTTGAGAAAAACGTTTTACCTTGTTGTGCAAAATAGCATTCTGTTTTATCCTATCATTTCTCAGTAACGTCCTTTACAGTTTTTGTGGGGATACGATTCAGCGTTCCCCGTTGAAAAATATGAATAGCCTTTGCCGATTTAATGCCGTGCTTACACGTTTTGCTAGGCATTTTTCCTCATCAAATAAAGTAATTTGATTGCAATTTATGCGTTTAATTTATAAAGAATTTGCAAAAGGTTACAATTTTGGGTGCGAGTGGTGGCGTAGGTCAACCATTATCACTACTCATGAAAAATTCATTACACGTCACAGAGTTGTCTCTTTACGATATTGCCAATGTTGCTGGAGTTGCTGCGGATTTAAACCACATTGAGACCCATCCGAAAGTTATCGGTTACACCGGGCAAGAAAATCTAAGCACTGCTTTAGTTGGCGCTAAAGTGGTTCTTATTGCTGCCGGCGTATCACGGAGACCGGGTTAGTTCAACTAATATCTCACGTATCTGTTTTTTACTTTTTTCATAATAATAACGTCTTATTTCTGAAGGCATGAGTCGTGATGATCTTTTTGACAAAAATGCACCTATTGTTGCTGATCTTGTCAGAGCTTGTGGAAAATCTTGTCCAGAGGCTATGATTTGCTTAATCACAAACCCAATTAACAGTACAGTCCCAATTGCTGCTGAAATTCTCAAAAAGGAGGAGGCTTACAATCCCAAACGGCTCTTCGGTATTACTACATTGGATATAATTCGAACGAATACATTCATCGCTCAAGCGAAGGTTTGTGCTTTTATAATTGTTGCCCATTTCTACTTGAGGCTATACCCGAAGTGTAATTATTCTTCTGTCTCTTCTATTTACTGTGCTCTGTGATTTCTTTCATGCCGACACATTTTCAAATAGTAATTATCATTTTGTCTTCTTTGTCGTTTACTACAATGTGTTGATATTTTCATATTTAAATTACACATGTGTATAGGAGGTTAAGTTTAATCGATGTTATGTATAAATTTTTAATGATAAAGAATCGGTTGCAAATGCTTTGTCTTTAATTGTCACATTCTTCCCTACATTTTTAATTACCCCATGATCGATCTTAATAATCAACAGAGGTGCAATGTTTGCTCCACAATTGATCGAAAGGCAAACAATCTGTTACTAGCTTCAAAAGAGTGGAATTTAAAATGTCGATTCCAAAGAGTATGGACTTCTTCGTGATTTTCAAAGTTTTAGATGTGTTTGATTGAGATTTAATTGCGATCTATATTTACGTGATTACACCCTTGTGCATTTGTTGCAATTCGTTGGCAAACAAGGAGAAATCTTTGGCATCAAACTATATGTAGTTCGAAGGTGTGTGCGTAATTGCGTTACTATTACTTTTAGCTTTACAGATCAGTCGGTACTAGGTAGGATATGCAGTTACTACAGATCAAATTACATTATTATTTTTGTTAAAGTACCCTTTTATTTTTCATTTAGGACTTGGATGTCTCAAAAGTTTCCTGTCCAGTTGTCGGTGGTCACTCTGGTAGCACAATCGTTCCTATCTTCTCTCAATGCAATCCCGCAGTCGCACTTCCACGTGTAAGTCAAGATTAACCGTCTGCTTTTAATTTGAGTGTATGTTTTCAACCACTACATTTCCAAGTTCAGGCGTTAGTCATACACTATGATGAGATGCTCATATTGAGCCACATCTCCTATCGACAGGAATGAGTGAATGCAGGTTGTCTTCCACTTCACTGAATACGTAACAATGAGGAGTGATCTTGGACCTATCAGACGTGCTTATTGGACAATGGGCTGTTACTGGCTCCCGCTCTGTTTGCTTATTGCATTTGCAATGGGCTGAAGTGTTTTTTGTCAATTTAATGCACTAGTAACTTACTACAAGAAGTAAATGGTGAAGTGGGGCTGCTTCAGTTCATCACACCAAAGAGCTACCAAATTATGCAGTTTGAATTTCTAAGTGAAAATGTGTCTTTATCAAGTTCAGGATAGAGAAAAAGAAGATTCTCTTTGTTTGGTCAAATAGCAGTAATTGTGTGTCAGATAAGATTTATGTATTTCAAATGGCAGAGAGGAGGAGGAACATCGAAGTGACAAAACGTCGAGAAGGGGGACAGAATAATTGCTCTCGAATGTAAAAGAGACAGATAGACACAAAGGCAGAGAAAAGGCAAGATGAGTACTGTGGAAGGGGTCAATATGACATGCAGTCGGGTCATGGTAGTTTTAAGTCAGAAGTCAACTGCCGGTTTATGACTATTTTGCCGTATGAGTATACGTTGTCCAGGATGCACTACGTGAGGGTAAGTCTATCGCACACCCCGTGTCAGATAAGATTGAGATACTCATTACATAAATCATATTTATTGCTAATATTACCAATACACATAAGTTCCATCTAGTCGTTTTTATAGATAATGAAGATTTGTCTACTTTCTTCTGTTAGAGAGTGTTGGAGGAATTGGTGGCTCGCATACAAAATGCCGGAACAGATGTGGTGAATTTGAAAGCTGGGGAGGTAAGTGCCCACGTCTCATTTCATATTTAAGGTTTGATCATCCTGGATTCGGCTTTGCTGAGCATATATATATTGGGTTGGCAACTAAGTCATTGCCGTTTTTGTTGACAGATTCACTCTATACTTTCTTTTATTTTGTTAACGTGGCCAGAGCATCTAACCTATATTTTTTTCTTACTGTATGGGCTTCTAGGTTAATTAGTAAAAAATTTTTTTGTTTAGTTCTTTAGTTTTGTTTTTATCCCAATTTAAAAATGAAAGAACAGGACGTGCACTTCCGACACATTTTATTGTATTACTTCCGAAAAGGCAAGAACGCATCGCAAGCACAAAAGAAGTTATGTGCCGTATATGGAGATGAAGCCTTAAAAGAAAGGCAGTGTCGAAATTGGTTTGAAAGATTTCGTTCCGGTGATTTTTCACTGAAAAATTCACAACGATGTGGCCGCCCAGTCGAAGTGGATGAAACCCATATCAAGGCCATTATCGATTCAAATCGTCACAACACAACACGAGATATTGCAGAGAAGCTCAATGTGTCGCATACATGCATTGAAAAAAATGAAAAACCCTTGGTTATGCCAAGAAACTTGATTTATGGATCCCTCACCAGTTAAAGGAAATTCATTTGACGCAACGGATTAGCATCTGTGATTCGCCGCTACTGAAACGCAATGAGAATGATCCATTTCTGAAGAACCCAGTTACTGGCGACGAAAAGTGGATAGTTTATAACAATGTTACTGGCAAGAGATCATGGGTGAAGCAAGATCAACCAGCCCAAACAGTATCAAAAGCAGAGATTCACCAAAAAAAGATTATGCTGTCAGTCTGGTGGGGGGATCACAAAGGAATTTTGTATTTTGAACTCATGCCGCAGAACCAAACGATAAATTCAAATGTGTATGTTGAAGAACTCGAAAAACTGAAGGATGCAATTGAAGATAAGCGGCCGGCATTATCAAATCGGCGGAAGGGTGTTGTTTTCCATCATGATAACGCAAGGCCCCCCCCCACACATCTTTGGTTACTCGGCAAAAATTATTGGAACTGGGTTGGGATGTTTTGTCACTCACACCCACCATATAGCCCTGACCTTGCGCCTTCGGGTTACCATTTGTTTCGTTCCATGCAAAACTCTTTAAATGGTAAAATTGTTAACAACGCGGATGATGTCGGATCACACCTAATTCAGTTTTTTAATAGCAAAGACCAGACATTTTACGAAGGGGGAATTTTTACTCTGCCAGAACGATGGAAAAAGGTCATCGACAAGAACGGCCAATATCTAATTGAATAAAGTTATATTTTTAAACAAAAATTCCGAATTTGCCTTCTTATTTGAAATCGGCAATGACTTAGTTGCCAACCTAATACTTTTTCCTCCTCTTAGGAAGTCGTTATTCTACATAGCCTGCGATAACAGACTACTGGAAGTTCAAAAATTAAATCGTCATCTCTTTATTTGATTAAAAACAAATAGTTATAATGCTTTATAATGGATATATTTTGAATTCATTAGATTGGGGCTTAAGGTCAACTATCTTCAAAGGTGTTTTGTTCTACAAATTATTACGGAGTGATTGAAGATAACTCCGTTTAATGCTTAATTATTGAAACACTATGAGTTGCGCAAACAGTTTATTTGGATCATATAAGATAGAAGGAAGATGTATTGCTCTTAGTGTACAGTTACCATTTCGATACTCATTGATTCATGCCCAAAAAATCTGCCTAAGATCGGCTATTTATGATCAATATCAGCGTATGTTTATCCTACTTTCAACTCTTCTCATTCCGACTTTGCTGAGATATGAACAAACATATGGGAAAATTTTTAAATATAATGTACTTCTCAAGCCCATTAAGGAAAGTGGTAGTATTATATAATTTGGTAAATAGAGGGTTTCAAGTGAGAATTTCGCATTCTGCTACCTCCCTCCCTCCACCCCTGTCTGTCTCTTACGTTAGTAACTCACATCACAGAACATTTATCTCACCAACTCTACTTTGGCATATGTGCACTATTTACACTTCATCTAACGGTGACAAAAAGTTTACATTTCGGAAGCGTAAAGAAACTATGACAGACCCCCCCCCCCCCCCCCCCCCTCCCCCACTGAGACTTAAATTATTAGAGCATTAATTTTAATTGCAAGAATGAACTCGTCAACGTGATTTTTTTAAATCAGCTCTCCTGCCTCATAAGTTTACTAGGTTTGACTTGTATTTCTTCTCCACTCTCTTTAATTAATTTCTAAGCTTGGCTAAGTGTTTGTTTATGCGCGTTTGTTCTTCAGGGCTCATCAACTTTGGCAATGGCTTATGCTGGTGCCCGCTTTGCCAATTCTCTTCTGCACGCTATGAAAAGTCGTGCCGAGATAGTGGAGTGTGCCTTCGTTGAGAGCGAAGTGGCTGAGACCGATTTCTTTGCTTCTCCTGTACTACTTGGAGTAAGTCATTGAAAAGATTTTTATTGCCTAAATTAGTACGATCACAGCCTCCCATTTTGCTGAAATAGACTGGGATCAACTACGTTTGTACCTGACTGTGTTACTCAGAGGAAGGAAAGAAGAAGGTGGAACTCGGGTCTTTACTCCCAACTTAATGCTAGAGAGGATTCTACGATTACGTGAGGTGTTCGACGGGTTCCAATTGTAGAGGAATGAAGAGGGATAAGTGGCACTATTAACCGAAATAAGAGGTCGAAAACAACAACTTTGAGTTGATTTAAAAGAGATTCAATAGAAAAGGTAAATACGCTTCCAAGAAAATGTTTAACTAAAAATAGCCGCCATTAGCGTTCAATACCGTCTCAGAATACGCATTAACTCAGACTCTTATGACTGATTGGCTTTTGGAGTAATGACAAATTGGCTGGTATCTTTTTCAACAGACTCCAGTACAATCACACTAGTCTACTGGGTTAAGATCTGGAGAGTGGAAAGTAAGGGAAGGTAGTGGGAATGGAATTGGTGTAGTTGTAGAAATTGACTGGGAACAACTTATCACGTATCCTTGACGTATGACAGGTGAGTGAATCCAGTTATCACAATAAATATTACCTATTATTGGTCACTCTTATTCGTCATCCAGCGCCTAACTATGGCAGTGGCCAGCAATTCCACATAGACATCTGAATACACCCTAAGTTATTGACCTTGAGAAATGCGAAGGGCGGCGTCAAGTCACATCACGTCACTCTCGTTGGTGGTTGAGGTGTGGGGGGGGGGGGGGGGGGAGGACACACACACAAGAAAAGAATGACAATTTTGGATGATTTAGTCTAAGCAACTCGAGAAATTTCCATTGCCATTGTCTCCAAGCCAGGCCATCCACTATTCTGCTTGTTGCATACTTCATGTTGCTTAGAAATTTCTCTTCCCCTTACCATACCATTTTCCTATAATTACGACCATCTGGAGGTAGATTGAAACCAGTATTAATCGAGTCAACGTCCGAATCCACATATACGCAAAACCACTTAGATGTTTTGTTACCACAGTAAAATAACTGAACTGGACGAAAAGTAATCTCAATAGTTTATTAGCAGTTATCGAGGATTGAATAGTTATTGCGAGTTAAGTCAGTATTGTATTTGGGCTATACACTATTATTTGTTTAAATCAATAGATTAAACTCCATGAATTGCCACTTCGAAAGCTGAGCGAATTACTATCCCTGCATTTGAGTACTTATTGCCTTGATTTTTCACAACTTTATAAGAGTGTAGAATGATGGGAGATACATTTTTGCTCATATTTTTTTGTGCTATCTCTTAAAATCATCTTAAATTTTGGCATTATTTCCCTTTTCAGCCCAATGGAGTCGAAAAGGTCTTTGGCACTGGTAATGTTAACAAATATGAGACTGAACTACTGAAGAACGCCATCCCAGAATTGAAGAAGAATATCCAAAGAGGAAAAGATTTTGCTGCTACATACTAGATCAACTGGCAGCTTTCCAAAGGAAGATACATCGCGTTCCTTTATTACGCAAGCATTCCATTTTACTTATCCTTTTGCCAATTCTACTTATGCTTATGCAATTGATGCTATGTTGTCTACTCGATACATTTTATTAGGCCCCATAGTTGGCATTACGCTCGACGATTTCGGCGGCAGAAATTATTTAATCATTATCACTGAATTTATAATAAGCTTTGTGTCCTCTTTTTATTTATTTAATAATACGAGTTATATTTATTTTTCTTGTGTTTGTGAACTAATCTCCTTAATAAGTACAAAAGAGGGGTAAATTTTTTTGCGGGAAATTGTTAATCTATAAATTACGCTTTATGCCTAAATCATCAAAAACGACAAATTTACAAATTTCCCAATTAATTTAACATGAATGTTTGTTTCCTAATATTTACAATTTAACTGAAAACACTATGGCCTAGTCAAGCATTTCATGTGTGCACTAAATATCATTAAATGATTTCACTTACTTTACTTTCTCTACATTCTGTCATATTTGGCAGACGCTATCTTCGCTGCTCTTGCAATTACAGATTCTATGGCCGAATTTTTTACTATTTCTCAATTTTTTACTTAAATGAAAAAAAAACAATTTTATGGCACACCTGGAAAGCCGCTTCGAAGTCTTTTGTTTGACAAGGTGCGGTAGAACAGTTTCGGGGTCCTCGAAGGAAACATGACAAATTTGTTCTCTCGTGCACAGGCTTATCGATAATTGGTTGCCACACCCACTCTAGGTATGTAGAACCGCCTTGTGTAGAAAATATCACTCTAATAATTGGCTAATTAAGCAATCAATCATTTACCACATATCTTCAATAAGTACATTAATTTTATTAGTAAAAAACGGTTATAAGTGTTCATTCTTGGTCTGATTAGTTGTAACTTTATAAGGGACAATTCGAGGAGCTATAATGGGAAGTTGCAATCACTTACGAACTCATTACTGGAATCACCAATTACGTCCTCATAATTACCAAGGGAACCCCACAATGATTCAACAATTTCCAGTTATCGATCAATTTCGAACGACATCAGTACCTCGTTCCGAGAGGGGAATTTTGCAAATTCACGAATAAATTCGGTACAAATACGAAGAAAGATATTTAAGAATTGCATCTTATCTCTTCAAAGTTATTCAATCATGTAAAAATGGGCGTATTCAAAAGGGGTATCGAAATTTCCATTTGATAAAAATTTGACTCTTAGTGTAAAAGCTGGGTCCAGCCGAATGTGGGAGGTTCATGCATTTAATCCTCTCTAAAATAGCACCACGCAAAATTTTTGCAATACTGCCATATGGCATTATCAAATCATTCAGAAGAAGAAACGTCTTTGCTCAATGCCATCTTGTGATGTCCTTATATCTCTCCTAGAGGATTTGTAAAGCTACTCTCGATAATATTTTCGATAACAAGCTTATGCTTGTAGTTTAACATTACAGAAAAAAACTCTGGGGTTCAATTTTGCCACCTGAAGTTGTGAACCAGTAGCAAAAAGTGCTAGAGATGGCTTTTTTGCAAGTCCAGCTGCCAGACTCCATTTATAGTTCTTTTTCTGAATTATTCAGTTAATTTCTTTGATTTTATGATGAAATCGTGAGGAAGTATTAAAAAGATCATTTAAAATTCATTACGGTTTCACAATATTTACTCATGAACTGTGTTTTTCCATTTGGTTTAGCAAAGATGAGTGTCAGAGTGTAAAATACCATTTTGTAGAGAATCTCAGCGTAAATTACACAATGTGCGAGGTCTGTATGTAAATAAGTATATTTATAATTGGGTGCACTACAATGTAGATTAGCTAGTTTACATATGAGTATTTCTCTAAATCTTCATCAAACACATCGGTGTTGATGATTGTTTGACAAGAAGAGATAAGGTTCAAAGGCGGTGATCATGCCTACACTGGATATAATTACAAATCAAATTACAGGTACCTCAGAGTGCAATAAACCGTATGATAGTGACCACTTCCCTCCACTTAGTTTCTTTAGCCAACTTCAAATTTGCAATTGAAGAAAATGCGTGCTGAGGTGTTCTTCAACCTCGCAACAACTACGAAACTACTACTCACAGTGACGTAACAACTATCTGGTTCATCATCCATAGCTGTTCATTGATTCTTCACCGTTAAATCTCATTACAATTTTTTGATTTTTAAATCGAATTCTATAAACTTGAAATGTGTTACATCTTTCAAACCCTTTATATTGCTAAATTTCTACTTTGAGCTCGTTTCTAATCGCCTTATTTTACTTCTTAATTTTTTAAATGTTCCCGAATTCATTCACGAAAATCGTAAATCAAAGCCGGTTTTAGTGTTATGGTAAGTATTTCACAAAAGCATTTCACTCGTGGATCTTTAAGACTCTGAATTAAATCTTATAAATATTAACAAATTTTTTTCTTTATTAAAAAAGAAGGTAGTGTTTACTTTAATTTAGATCTAATGAAAAAAGTTATTTTTGGATCCATTAAATAATTAAATTTATAGACATTGCTATATTTTGTCAAGTTCTTTTTTATTTGCTATCAATTCCAACTAAAGCGCGTCGTTAAGTCAGAAAACGACATTATTATTTAAATGCGATTCATATCAATTAAGTAGTAAGATCTTTTCGATTTCATCTAGGTGATGAATTTATTTGCTAGGTCTTCCTCAATTTGAATATCGGTTAAATAAACTTAACAAAAACACTGGAAATTTATTTTTTTACATTAAATACTTCAAATTAATGATATTAGAAGATTCAATCAGTGAATCTGTTAAATCGAAAGATCAGCTTCAGAATACCATTTGAGCAAAGGGAACATGGATCCCTAATCTAGATTTACCAGTAAAGGGAAGCCAGTTAGTGAAGTAAGGACATCTATCCAAGAAACCAATGAGTACCATATAACTCTATCTGCGATTGGCCTCGTTTTGTTTTCAAGGTCATCATGCCTAAGTTTTTGTGAGCGTTTCGTTCAATCAAAGCCCAGCTTGATAAGTGAATTGGTGGATTTAAAATAAGTATTGTTGTTTTAGTATTTTCAGAGTCTCGCACTTCACAAAAATATTGTAAACCCACCTGATAGTAGAAGAAACCATACACAAGTAATTGACGCATTTTAAACCACTTGTACTTTTGTTGAAATCCAGTAATTTAATAAACATAGTGATTAGTCAGTTGTTTTGAGGTTTATTAGAATATTTTCGCCGGACGCGAGAGAGATAAGCGAACTACATCTCGCGCACTAAAATTTCGCGTTCTCACCTGGACGTGTGAGACCACCTGTGGAGAAGCAAACACTGAAATAATATTGGTTAACCAGTCAGCCAATCATTTTGACGCAATTCAAGCCCTCATGGGTAAATCTAGTAGGCTAAGTAAAGGGCCGTTGTTTGAGCGGAAAGTCTTCTCGTTTCCCCATCCTTGGAACTGAGTTATGGTAGTTTTGTTAGAGGGTAAGTTGGACGGTATAAAAGAAGAAAACTCTAACTCCGAGTCACACGAAAAGCATATTCCCATTCTCATCACTAAATTCGAAGTTGATATCCTTCCAGACTGGGCCATTCACGCCCGAGTTTAGCTCGCTCCCAGAATGCTTTGGGGAATCGATCTTAATAATGTCAGCAAAAAGTTAACCAACCGCGCTTATGAGCTGAAGATATGTAAGGAGAAAATACCCACTCAGGAGACGTTTCGCACTAAAGCCATTTCGTTGCCTGCCACGCATGCCTCTTGTTCATGCCACAAGTTAAACCAATCGAATTCCAAGGTCATTACTTTGCCTATCACGTCGAGGGGGCTATGTGTCAGAGGAATAGAAGAATAAACGGTGCCACTGAAAATGGTTGGTATTGACTACTTTGTTGCTGTAACTTTTTTTCAAAACTGCCAAAAGTCATATCATTAACCTTATTTTAAATTTATGAAAATAGTAAAATAGACACTACCACCTTAATGGCTAATCCTAATGTGCTTATCATACTAGCCTAACTATATTTCTCTAACAAGATCTTACAGTGTTTATTAGTTTGTATAGGAAACGCGGGAATGAGTCTACATGAACCAATTTTAACAAAATCAGAATTTGCAAGATTTGTAGACTTTACTGAAAGGTAAAATCGGTATTTGTTCGGGCGGATGTGGGGGGGGGGGTGGTAAATCTTATTTCTATTTTAGATTTTTGTTCAAACAGAGGGTGATTCACTAAAACATTGTCTGGTAATTTTGCAAGGAAGAGACAGTTTGCTAAAAAGTGTGTGTTTGGCCTTTTTGTGGCCTGTTCTGTTTGGTTTCCTAACAGATCTAGCATTGTAAAGATTGAACCAAGTCGAGAAATAAGGATGATGGGGAAAGGACTTTCGATATTGGAAGCCATAAACCCTCTGAGAATTTATCAAAAAAAACGAACCGAATCAAGAAGAGCAATTACTGCATTTCCATTCTTCTTTCATTTCCGTCTCGTATGTACAGTGTGTTCAGGCTTTATTTATATTAAATAGCAAACTTTATGACAATTGTCATTGGTACTTTAGTTGACTTCGGGGTTCCCAGAGTGGAGGAACATCAAAGTCACCAAGAAGTCGAGAGGGGAACAGAATAGTGATTCACAGATGTAAAAGGAACAGACAGATACAAAGGTAGATAAAAAGGGTAGGTGAGTACTGTAGAAGTGGTGGAATATGAAATACAGTCGGGTCTTGTTAGTTTGAAGTCAGAAGTCAACTGCCGGTTTCTAGAATTTTTTTGCCGCAAGATTTTATGTTGCCCAGGATGTCCCACGTGGAGGTAAGTCTATAGCACACTCTATGTGTTCAGGATAAATTTGGTTTAATAACACTTGGTTATTTTTTCTGATGTATTAAAGGTGTTCACACACAAACAAACAAACACATACACACAAAGTATTCCTTTGAAAGTGAAATCCCCCTCTTCATTCATATACGTGATGACAAATTAAATAGTCGACTGG